TAGACACACACACACACACACACACACACACACACACACACTCACACACACACACACTGCTTTCTGAACACTGGGAAACAAATACGAATCAGACCTAGCTCCAGCCAGAACACAGGCACGAATGACTAACTCTTCAGAGCCCAGAGTAGTTAGGAAATGGAGCCACCTTCCTAGGGGCTACAAAGGGGACATTGCCATCACAAGGTATGGCGTGTGGGGCAGGAGCTAAGTAGAGTGCATCCATCACATTGCCTACTAACCTGACTGCTGGCTGATTTACGGGACAGTGTCAGGATTTCCATTCGATGGACAAGAAAGCCAGGGCTCTCAGGGATTAGCAAACTCTCCCAAGTTTAGAAGATCAGGAAGAGATCACAATGAGGCTTTAGTTCTTAAGAGTCTGCTTCCTTGGCCACTGAGTCACACTACCCAGTGTCCCACTATTCAAAGTCTGAGTTCAGCTCTGCCATGAGGGTGCTGCCATTAGGAGACTCCAGCCTGTGAGTAAGCTGGACTCAAGCAAGTAAGCAGTGGATACTGAGCTGTCCAGTCAATGAGCCTTGATGCAAGCTGGATGAGATGGAGAGCACTGCACACTCCTCTCTGGAGAGACACAGTCAGTGGTAGAAGACAATGGGTCAGCCTGGGAGACTGCTGGAGGAGGCCTGGGGCCCAAGGAGGACTGTATAGGATGGGGAAGAATAAGAGAGGCAATGAAAAGCCAAACAGGAGCCGGTTAAATGCCTATGCAACTGAGCTGGCACCTTACAAAGACACACAGGTCTGGAAATTCAGACAGGCCAGTCTGGAGTGTAACTCAGTCATTAGCATTCATGCCTAGTATATGTGGAGCCGGCAGGCTCAGTCTGCAGCACAGCATAAACCAAATGCGATGGTGCATGCTGTGATCCCAGTGCTCAGGAGGTGGAGCTGGAAGTTTAAGATCACCTTTGACTTCATAGTGAGTTTGAGGCCAGCCTGGGATATGTGAGGCCCTGTCACAAATGGGAAGGTGGAGGGGGAAGTGGGGGAGGAAGAGAAAAAGGAGGAAGAAAAATGGAGAGGAAGAGGAGAAGAAAGAGGAAGAGGAGGAAGAAGAAATTGGGAGTATAGGATGGGGAAGAATAAGAGAGGCAATGAAAAGCCAAACAGGAGCCGGTTAAATGCCTATGCAACTGAGCTGGCACCTTACAAAGACACACAGGTCTGGAAATTCAGACAGGCCAGTCTGGAGTGTAACTCAGTCATTAGCATTCATGCCTAGTATATGTGGAGCCGGCAGGCTCAGTCTGCAGCACAGCATAAACCAAATGCGATGGTGCATGCTGTGATCCCAGTGCTCAGGAGGTGGAGCTGGAAGTTTAAGATCACCTTTGACTTCATAGTGAGTTTGAGGCCAGCCTGGGATATGTGAGGCCCTGTCACAAATGGGAAGGTGGAGGGGGAAGTGGGGGAGGGAGAAAAAAAGGAGGAAGAAAAATGGAGAGGAAAAGGAGAAGAAAGAGGAAGAGGAGGAAGAAGAAATCGGGAAGACCAGGAGAAAGAAAGCAAAGAGAAAGAAGAAAAGGAGGAATCAGTCTTGTACAAAAC